CAGATCTTCAGGTCTTTAGGTCTTCAGATCTTCAGATCTTCAGATCTTTAGGTCTTCAGATCTTCAGGTCTTCAGATCTTCAGATCTTTAGGTCTTCAGATCTTTAGGTCTTCAGATCTTCAGATCTTCAGGTCTTTAGGTCTTCAGGTCTTCAGATCTTCAGATCTTCAGATCTTCAGATCTTCAGATCTTTAGGTCTTCAGATCTTCAGGTCTTCAGATCTTTAGATCTTCAGATCTTTAGGTCTTCAGATCTTTAGATCTTTGTCGCTCCACTCGGTCGTGTCATTGTCCTCCACCACCTCTTTGGTGACGATCACCACTCTGCGAGTCGTGGTGGTGGTGGTCGAGCTGCGGGGACACAACACAACGTCAACATCTGATGAAGCTACACAATGAGTGTGTCTGTTTTCCTCCAAGACAAGAAGCTTCTTTGTTTGAGGAGACATTTTGCAGAGAAGAACTCACCCCAGCATCTCTCCGTCCAGCAGCCTCCTGTACTCTGCGATCTCCAGCTCCAGCCTGGTCTTGATGTCCAGCAGCATCTGGTACTCTTGTCCCTGGCGCTCCAGGTCGGCCCTCAGCTGGGCCAGCTGCTCCTCCAGAGCCGACACCTGCCTCTGGTAACCGGCCAACATGGTCCCGTATCTGCTGTTGGTGTCGGAGAGCGTTCCCTCCAGAGACGCTTTCTAACCGACAGAACAAAACTGCGTCAGAGAACGATTCTGTTGAATCCACACGATGGATTCAAGATGGAGGAACTCACCATGCTAAGCTGAGCTTGGAGCTCGATCTCCAGACCCTGGAGAGTCCGTTTGACCTCTGTGATCTCGGAGCGTGATGACTGAAGAGTCTCGGTGCTGACGGCGACCTCCTTGTTGAGATCATCGGACTGTAGAGGAGATGACGACGCTCTTTATCTCACACACATTTTGTTTATTGCTGCAGAACAAAGTCACAGTTCAAAAAAAAAACGTACCTTGGCCCGGAACCAGGACTCGAGTTCTCTTTGGTTCTTGGAAGCAACACTCTCGTACTGTTCCCTCATGTTGGACATGACGGTGGACAGATCCATCTGAGGAGCGGCGTCCACCTCCACATTTACCTGACCGCTCATTTGAGTCCGCAGAGCCAGCAGGTCCTGAGGAGAACATCCAGGTCAGTGAAGGGTTTGCCAAAGAAATTCATGGTAATCACAGGCAGGTTTCAAACCCACCTCCTCGTGGTTCCGCTTGAGCTGGATGAGTTCCTCCCTCAGAGCCTCGATCTGCATCTCCAGGTCTGATCTTCCCAGAGTCAGTTCGTCCAGGACTCTCTTCAGCCCGGCGATGTCGGCCTCCACGCCCTGACGCATGGCCAGCTCGTTGTCGTACCTGTGAGGCGGCAGCATCACTCACATCAGCTGATTCTACTGTGACCTTTGGAACGAGCCATGCGTAGAAGCTACAACTGTATTTGACTATTTGAACAAGTGTTTCTGAGGCCGAGGGATTCTGCAGGAGGTGGATGAATCTGTGAAACTCAGAACTCGATTCTTAGTTTCACACATAAATAACAGAAAGTTAGAATATTGAGTCTGATGAGCTGCTGCTCAGTTTATAACCTGACACGTGTTTGACATGTATCTCGTCTACGTGTGGTTTCTAATTTAAATGACTCTTTACTCACTTGACCCTGAAGTCGTCAGCAGCCAGCTTGGCGTTGTCGATTGACAGGTAGAGGGCGCCATTTTTACGGGTGGCATCGAAGATCTGAAAAAAAACAGAAGAACAAATGTATTTTCATCCTCTGGACTCAACAGACTGAAACCTGAACTCATGACACCAGAACAGTTTTCCAGCTCATCCAAGAGGGAACACGGAGGGAACCAGTGGAATTCCACTGAAAGTTTCTGGTTTCACTGGTTTTCTGTTCTCGTTGTGTCGTGTTGCTGCTGCAGGGGCCTTCGTGTGCTCTGGGTGTGGCTGCACCTGTTTCCATCCTACAGGAAGCAACTGATCATCTCTGTCTCAGCGGCTGTCAAGTTTCATACCACAAATCAGAAGCATCAGAAACTGGTCTCACCTGGTCCTGTAGGTCACCGATGATGACCTTGAATCCAGAGTAGTCGTGGCCCGCGGGTTTGGTCTTGTTCTCCAGGAACTGCCTGATCTTCAGCTCCAGCTCAGCGTTGGCCTTCTCCAGGTTGCGCACCTTCTCCAAGTAGGTGGCCAGGCGGTCGTTCAGGTTCTGCATGGCCATCTTCTTGTTGTCTGAGATGTCGACGGCGTCGGCCAGGTTGAAGCCTCCAGCAGCAGCAACGCCGCTGGCAGAAGAGAAGCTTCTGGGAGCGGCCATGCTGGAGATGCGGACCCCGGAGCCTCCGGCGCCGCCGTACACACTGGGGGACCTCATGGACCCGAGGCGGTTTCCAGTGGAGAAGGTTGCGGAGCGAGAGTAGCTGGCCATCGTGGAGGAGGTTTTCTGCTCTGGATGGAGAGGAGGGAATGTGGCACAAACTGAGGTCGGCTGCTTTTATGGCTCATGAGAGAGGGGCGGGGGCTTCACCCCTCCAACACACACACATGCCTCAGGCTAAGAAACACACACTGAACCAGCAGATGACAAACAACCATAAACGTTCAGAGCAGGAATTTGAAGTGTCGGTCTGTTGCACGACCATCCGACTCGTGTTGGTTCAGGTTCTGTGAATCTGTAAACTTGATGGAATCTTATCAGCTTCACATTTTTCTGTTTTGACCTCCCTCCGTCCCACCCTCACCTGGATTCCTCTGTGCATGTTCAGACCTGTGTGTGTGTGTGTGTGTGTGTGTGTGTGTGTGTGTGTGCAGACCCCCCCCCTCTCCTGTGTTATTGTGCAACCAAACAATGAATCCCTCACTGACGGCTCTCGTCTCTGTTTGCTGTGTCGCAGGCTGACATTCTGGTTTCAGTCTCATTACACACACATGAAACCAACACAGGAGTAAAAGTCTCCAACAGAAGTATTTAACTTGTTTCTTACTTTATTTCTCTTATTCATATTTCACAAAGACACATTTATCATTTTAGAAGAAACACAGTTCACGATGGCTGAGAATCTTCACATGTGATTTTAAAACAAAGTGTTTCCGGTGTGAACCAACAGAACCAGGTTCAGTTTGATCCGGACCCAGAACTCCTCTTCTGGTCTGAGGAACCGTTCACAGCTGAAGTTCAGCTTCAGACCGAAGCTCTGAAACAAACCAGGTGAGAACGAGTTCATAGTTCGGTTTTAATAACAGTTTGAAATAATGATTCAAATAATACTGAATTTTAGAAACTTCTACAAAATGTCCCACCGATATAATTTGCGGTGGTCAGAGCAGCTGCTGATGACTCCGGTGAACTTACGCTCCTCTGTCTCTCTGTCGCTTTACAGTCATCGCCATGGTTACCTGATCTACTTTGATGCTGATGTAAAGAACCTGTTTGTCGAAAGTGGAAGATGAACTTCGACTGACTGCAGCTTCACAGACGCTCTGCTTCTGTTCGCCTTATTGGGGAGTGGCAACCAACGTGGAGGAGCAGTATCGCCATCTACTGTATCTAATGGTACTATTTATGAGGACCAGTTTCAGACCTGGGATGTGAAGACATAATGTAAAAGAATACTTCATGTGACGAGATGTCTAATTATTAATATAACGTTAGATTTGTGCTGGACTGAGGTTTGGAGGAAACAGCAGATGAAGCATGAACACGTGGTCTGGGCTGCAGCTTCCTCTCTCTGGTGTTCCCACTGTGGGTGGGCGGAGCAACGAGGACGGACAATGATCACACCACCTGCCAATCACAAGGGAAAAGGACCTCCAGGCAGTTGAGTGCCAATATTCTGTGAAAGTCAACAGACATCCAGCTCAACCAGTTCGTTCTGCTTCACACAAGTGGTTTACCACAAACCCAGATGGAATGAAGGAGGACGAGGCCGGCTGGTGAGGACTGGACCTGGAGCACAGCAGCACTGAGGTACACTGCAGGAGCTTGACTGTGATCGGGTGGTGTGAGCGTCCTCCAGGGAGATCCTCGTCGCTCCGCCCACCCACAAAGGGGGGGGGGGGGTAAAGTCGGAGTCAGGGTCAAAATATTTTTACGAAGACATTTGTGAAAGTTTTGGAAAGTGAAAGGTTTTTGTCTGAAAGCTGACCCACTTTTAAAACGAGGAGTCAAAGTGTTAATAAAGTTTCTCTGGTAGTTTCCTCAGCGTCGGCTCTGCAGGTCGACGCTGAGGAACAGAGGATGTTGCATCTTGTGAAGATCTGAGACAAACTGTGATTTTTCAAACTGAGGACATTTTTAATTCAGGGCACATTTGAATGTGACCTTGAATAAATAGAAAGGAGTTTTTGAAAAGTTCCCTCAAAAAAGTTGGAACATTCTTTTAAATTTGTGGTCACAATACTTTTACAATTAAAATGAAGAAAAGTAAGAAAAACCTTTTGAAAGTGTGGACATTTTTATGTCTAATAAGAGGACATGTGGAATATTAGGACATTTCATGTAACAGATGAATCTGTTATCTTGTAAAATGAATAAAGGTTATAACATCTGAAACCATCTTTTCCTTCAACAGTGTATTTTAACTCGTCACCAAGCAAACCATTTTCTAAGAATTTATATTTGAATAAAAATGATCTGTGAAGATTTGAATTGTGAAATTAAAAAGTCAAGATATACTCATGGTTTTTATTTGTACTTGAATTCAGATTATTTTATTCTTGAACATCATCAGCCCTCGAGTGCTGGTGCAGCACTTAGTGGTTATTGGAAGAACTGCAGTGGATAAAAGAAGACTCAAGAGACGAGGTTTTATTTTGAAGCACCTCACAGACTTTAATGAAGACCTTTAAACCTTTATGTCTGTGTGGGAGCAGGGAGAGCGCCCCCTGTTGGTGAGCGCCCCCTGTTGGTGCCCTCTAGTCCTCGCAAACGGTTTCTGTGGTGCTCACCACCTGCCCATCCACCACCTCCTCTGTGACCATGATGGTTCTGGTCTTGATGGTGCTCTTTGGGGGAGTGGCAACTGTGGTGGCGGTGGTGGAGGTCATGGTGCTGGAGGATGACCCGGAGCCGGAGCCAGAGCCGAAGCCGGAGCCGGAGCCGGAACCGGAGCCGCTACAGGGCAAGAGAAGAGTCGGATTTTATTCAGATTTCTGTCTTTTTGATGGATGAAGATAAAACCGGTGGATATTCGTCTTTGTTGTCTCACAGGAACATTTAGAGCTGGAAGTCTGAGCTATTCTTAGATTTACGACAGCTGGTGAACGAACTTTATTTCATCCAGAATAATAATCAGGGGACAATAAAACTCACGGCCGGAAAAAATATATGTTTAAAGAAAATACGAAATAAGAAAAAAATGTTGAATCTTTTATTTGATGTGTTTATATTTTTTGACGCTGCAGCTTTCTGAAACCTTCAGCATTATTTTATATTCATATGCATTTCTTGTTTTATATATCAGTGCTAATATTTCTACATTTTAATTTGTTTCATGTTATAATGACGATGTTTCTGAAGCCTTTTTGTTCCAAATCTTAAAGTTGTCGGATTTAATTCAAACACAAGAATTTAACCCCAAATTGTTTAAATGAAGTTTAACATCAAACAAGTTTAATTTCAGATAAATAAGAGAAACCTAATGTGATGGAAATATATTTGTCTTCATGTATTTCGGAGGTAATGTTGTTTTGACAGCGTTGACCTGCAGGACATGAAGATGTCTCACCTGCCGCCGCCCTCTCCGTCCAGCAGCCTCCTGTACTCGGCGATCTCCATCTCCAGTCTGGTCTTGATGTCCAGCAGCACCTGGTACTCCTGGGACTGCCGCCCCATGTCGGCATTCAGCTGCACCAGCTGCCCCTCCAGCATGGTCACCTGGTTCTGGAAGCAAACCAGCTGCATCGAGTAGCGGCTCTGCGTCTCAGACAAGGTTCCCTCCAGCCCGGCTTTCTGCAGGAGACAGAGAGGAGACGGGTCAGTTTGTTTTATCGCCTCCGAACATGAAGCTGTTTTCTGAGATGTGACGTTACCATGCTGAGCTGCGACTGCAGCTCGATCTCCAGACTCTGCAGCATTCGTTTGAGATCTGTGATCTCGGACTTGGACGTCTGAATGGTATCTGTGCTGGCAGCGATGTCTTTGTTCAGAGATTCTACCTGTGAGGAGGCAAAAGACCACAGTGTCGTTGCAGCAGGTCAGAACTTCCTGTCTTTTACATACAATTTAAAAACAAACAAAATCTATATTTGTCTTTATTTTCTATTTCCTACAAAAACATGGTAAGATTCAGTTGCAGGTCAGATGACTGGAAACACTGGCATTGTTTTTTATGCAGATGACACTCAACTGTACATGAGAAAACCTTCGGCAGATAATGAGCCCACAGGCTCCGAGCACCAAAGTCTCTTCAGTTAAAGATGGAACTGAAGTTTAAAATGTTTAAGTCACAAACTCAGAGTCAGACGAAACATCGAGGACTGAAAGACGCACGTTTTCTGTAACGAGAATCAAAACTAAACGAGTAGACGCAGAGTTTACTTTTTAATCTCACAGAACAAACGAGACTACAGACGAGACAGAGAACAGCTCGTCACATCCTCACCTTCGACTGGAACCATATCTCCAGTTCTTTGCGGTTCTTGGCGGCATTGGCCTCGTAGTGCTCCCTAATCTCCTCCATGACCCTGGTGAGGTCCTGCTGAGGAGCGGCGTCCACCTCCACGTTCACCTGGCCGCTCATCGACGCTTGCGCAGACATCAGCTCCTACAGACCAACGAGGAGAAACGGGTGGAGGTCAGGACTATGGGGACATTTCTGGGGTTTGTCAGATTCTGATCTGCTTAGCGACTCACCTCCTCGTGGTTCTTCTTGAGGAAGATCAGCTCCTCCCTCAGGCCCTCGATCTGCATCTCCAGGTCGGTTCTGGACATCGTCAGCTCATCCAGGACTCGCCTCAGCCCGGCGATATCAGCCTCCACCGACTGACGCATAGCCAGCTCGTTCTCGTACCTGAACATCGGACAGGTTATTATCAACCTCTTATTATATATATATATGTTATTTTATATATTTAAATGCGACAACAGATATAAGACATGATCAGGTTTTCAGTCGAGGAACTGTTTCTGATAAGCAGTTAGCACGCAATAGCTGGTCGGCTATTTGGCTAACTTGGTTTTATTGACTTTACTGCGTAAACAAAGCTGTGACCTGAAGAACCTGTCCTGGTCCTTTACTTTTGATTTCAGATCCGAGGCCTGTCACTGTCAGGCTGTAACGTTTCACTCACTTGAGCCTGAAGTCGTCGGCGGCCAGCTTGGCGTTGTCGATGGACAGGTAGATGCCACCGTTGATTTTGGTTGCCGCCTGGATCTGGAGCGTGAAGAGAAGAGATTTATTTTACTTTAAATTGAACGTCAACACAGAAATAATCAGTGAAAATGTTGGAGGCCTGAAAATAAAAGTTCTCATGGTGAATTGATTGACAGACAATTCAGGACACGTGATCTTCAATTGAAATGTTTGTTGTTCATCTCGTGATTAAACTTCGTTCACGTGAAACAAAAATAAAAACCTTTGTCTCGGCTTGCTCTCGTGGAACGTCAGCCGTCAATCATCAGCAGATCTTTGGTATTTACTCTCATGTCACTTATTATTATTTCATTATTATTTACTTTCTTTTCCTCTTTCTATTCTTTTATCTTTTCTTTGGTGGAAGTTCTTCAGTGTCTGTTTGATCCCATGGTCGAGCTACAGTTTTAATCCCAGTGATGCAACATGGGAAATAATCAGATTAACTGTTTGACGATAATCGCATCATTTAAATATAGATATTAATGTTTCTTTCACGCAGACGTGATGCTGCTGTCAAGAATTTAACATCGGTAGTTTTCATGTTGTTAATTTTCTCACAGAACCTTTTGGAGAAGGTGGACGTGACTGAAGATGATGTCATGTGACCACGTGTCAGATGTGAGCCTACCTTTTCCTGCAGTTCTGCGATGGTGGCGTAGTAGGCGCTGTAGTCTCGGGAGGATGGTGAGACCTTGCTCTCCATGAACTGTCGGATCTTCAGCTCCAGCTCAGCGTTGGCCGCCTCCAGCTTGCGGACTTTCTCCAGGTAGGTGGCCAGACGGTCGTTCAGGTTCTGCATGGTGGCCTTCTCGTTGGTGGAGATGTCCATGTCACCACCACCACCACCACCAAATCCACCTGCTCCACCACCTGCTCCATAGCTGAAGCCATAGCCACCACCTGAAGAACCACCGCCGCCGCCGCCGCCGCCGCCGCCGCCGCCATACATGGACCAGCCAGAGGACATTCGAGCATTGCTCATAGAGCCAGAGACCATGGACCTGCTGCTGTATCCACCTGACCTCGACATGATGATTCTGGAGTTGAGTTGAAGGAAGACGTCTTTCTGCTTCAGCTGGAGCGGAGAAAGTGCAGAGCTCAGTGAGCTGCAGATTTTTTATACCGTTAGATGAATTTGTGAGGAGGAGGGAGGAGGGAGAGCTGGTGCCAAACCTGGGAGGAGACACTTGTCCTTGTTTAACTCATAAACAACCTCTGAGCGTCGTCGTGTGAAGGTTAATTAGCCGAGGGTGTGTCTGAGAAATGTGGAATCCACCCGTCACTTTCACTCACCTGATGGTTTCCACACAAAGAGATCTTCAGGCCAACGCTGCACATCAAACGCACAATAAAGGTTAGAGCAGGTTTAGACCTGGAGGACATTTAGGTGGAACCACTGATTTAAAGTTCACTCCCGACATGAAGAATCACGTCCAGTCAACCAGCTGTGAGAGAAAGTATCATCGTGTCGTCACGCTGGGTTCAAGATTAAATCTGGTGGAGATGATATCAGCTGATTCGTTTCAGTGGAAAGAGGCTGAAGACGTTTAGTGAAGAACGAAAGATCCGAGATACAAGTCAAGTGAATGTGTCCTCTGAGACGATGCCACAGAAACTGAGGAGAGTCAACCATCAGCAGGTCGTTTAGATCAGAAACTGCTCTTATCGCCTTTTTCTCCATCAATATCAATATATATAATATCAATCTTCACTGTTTGTAAACAGGAAATAGATTCTTTACTGACAGGAAATAGATTCTTTACTGACAGGAAATAGATTCTCTACTAACAGGAAATAGATTCTTTACTGACAGAACCTCCTCTGAAGGAGGAGCAGTGATGGTGAAGAGTCAGAGCAGGGACGAGGTGGAACTGTTCCTGACAGGAAGTGTTAGCGACGCTTTATGTTCATCGCTGGTAGTCGAGTCATGTGACTGATTAGAACCAATCAGAAGAGGACGTGGGCGTCATCGTTTCCTAAAGTTTGTGTTCAGACTAAAACACAAAACCAGAGTTTTCAAAATAAAACGAGATCAGTTCACACGAGTCTCTGATCCAGAGGCTGGAGAACTCCAGATGTAACCATAGCAACGGTGATGAGTTTTAAAACCATGAGGAGTCGGTGTGGGCGGAGCCTCACATTCACAGTTAAAAGAGATTTAATCTTCAGTTTATTAACGTTTTGAAGAAATCTGCTCTGAATTCCTCTGATCTTCATCTTCATCCTCAAACTGAATGAAGATGAAGAAAAGAGGATAAAGAATCATAAACAGATTCACAGTGTGATGTCACTGAGTATAGTTATATTATCAGTATGCTGGAACATTTATTATTGTATAATACTATATAATATTGTGATACTGATATGCTACAACAAGTATAACAATAATGATGACAATGATGATAATAGTATGAGTAATAATGATATATATAGTTTTTTATGATGGTCGAGATGATGTTGTACAGAGAGAAACTTATAATATGAAGACAATGTTCTTGATGTTTGAGATAAATAATATCCATCATCAGTATCAAATCCTTAATGTTCTTATCTTAATGTGCCCGATCGATAAGATGAGTCGGTTGTTCGAGGCTCAGGTGGGACGTGATGAGGGCGACGTCATCAGTCACAGGTGTTTGTGGCCTGACCCGAGTTACAAGCTACAGCAACAAAGAGAAGCTAGTTGCAGATGCTGTTTGGATTTTATTTACAACAGACTCATTTATTGGAAGCTCTGTTTCCACTGAGGGCTGTTTTCACCCGACTGTTGCAAAGTTCTCTGTCGCTCTTTGTCGCATGTTTCCACTGGAACCCAAGTTCAAGTGTTCTTGTTGTTTTGTCCAGTGAATGTGTTCATCTTTAAAATCTGCTGCTGCTTCACATGACAACACAAACTCTGATTGTTGGTTTTAAAACGTTTCAGTCTAAATATCAGCGTCGGACTTTGATCAAACTGATTTGAAATCCGATTAGATTCTGTGTTAACTTCAGTAAATCATCAGTGTGGGGGTGTGACGATGTAATAATGGTGATTAAAGGAGAGCTCATCAGGACTCTGACTTATTTGTTAAGTGTTTTTCTTCTGGCGTGTTTTGTGCAGTGTGGGTGTAGCAGGGTGGAATTCAGCTGCAGGCGTGTTCCCATCATCCACCGCTCTGCTCTCAGGCTGCAGGAGAAACTGACAGGTATGTACAACACCCCGCCCTCCGTCCCTCCCTCCTTTATTAAATATTATCATTTAATTTCACCTGGATGCCAGGCGTGTTTGTGTAAGAGGCTTTGTTTGCATGTGAAAGATTACAGCTGCAGGAGACGGGCGTGAAGAAGCCACTCATAAAAACACAAGTGTCACCGCCTCAGGTGAAGTTGGAATAATAAACGTGTCGGTTAATGGTTTGATGTGTGGAAACGTGAAGCACTCCGGAAAATCATATCCGCTGCTGCAGCGTGTGGATGTATGTTCAGACTCTGGTGTCCGAGTTATATTGGAATATAACCGTCAGTAAATCATGTTAATTCTATTCATTATATATAGAAAACACAAATATAAACACTTTAATGTTATAATCTGTAAACGATCAGAGACAAAAACAAACCTGAGAACAGTTTATGATTTAAAGATAAAACCTGTAGAACCAAGAATGATCTCCGTCCACACGGACACGCCTGAGAACACGTCACATGACCGTTCACTACATGTGGACACACATGACCGTTCGCTACATGTGGACACACATGACTGTTCGCTACATGTGGACACACATGACCGTTCCCTACATGTGGTGCAGATTGTCTCCTGTAACCATGGAGACGGTGATGTGATGAACTGTTTATACAAACTTAACGTACACTCGAGAAAGTCAATTCTGTGTACTGACCAGCAGGGGGCCACTCCACTAGTAGTCTCTATAGAAGACAGACACACACACAGAGACAGAGACACAGAGACACACACACACA